GGGGGGCAAAGGCCATGCACTGTTGATCTTGCGCCCTGAGGAATTAGGCTTTCTGCGGTACCTCAAACAAGCACGTATCCCACTAAACGAGTTTGAATTCTCATGGAACAAGATTTCTGACATCCAGCTGCAAGTGAGTACACAGTTACGAACAGTGCTGCCAGCCTTTCATTCTCCTTTAACCATTATCGGCTGTGTGTTCGGGCTCGCACACAGTCGAGCTGCAGCTGTTTGTCATAGTAGCATACCACTAAACCATATTTGTTTGAAGGTTTGTACTAACCCATTCAATCTAAATATCCGTGTGCTTATTATACTCACAAATACTCTCATTTTTGAATATACTGTAAACTGACAATAAGACAAATGCTCGGTTCCAGTATTATAGAATATGTAAAAGTTCGGTTAAAATTATTTTGTTATAAATGGTAATGTGAAATCAATTTCATTATTTTTGGTTTGATTATGAGGGAAATATTTATCTTTGCAAGTGTTTAATTGCATATCACGGATGCTTATAAAATGACACTTTGAACATTCTTTATAACAAATTTCTACTTTATCTTAATAAAGTAGAGTGTGGACTGGTTTTGTGTGGCTCAGGCTAGGGGTCCACTGGTGGGTACTTCTGAACACGGCAGTGAACATTTGAGTTCCACAAAGTACATGTAATATCTTGGCTGGCTGAGTGACTATCAGCTTCTTAATAGGAATACTGTTGTGTGGAGCTAGTTACATTTCAGAATATTCAGTGGAGGATGCTTAATTTCTGTCAGAACTTAGAATGGAGTTAGTGAGGATTAATTAATATTCTTTAATTCCAGTAATTACCACATATCACAATTTGGTACTGTTTGAACGTGGAGGGATGATGTGATATGGATCATATAAACTGTGTCAAGTCTCCATACTGGCCGTTCATAGCCAATGGAAGCCAACGATTATAACTGTGATGTTCTTTACTTATTTCAGTAAATGGCTCATGAAAAGTTAAGGCAGTTATAACATATGTACAATCTAGTTCCTCCACTTTTTATGCACCGTTTCATTTGATGCTTCAGAAATGATACTAATTATCAGTTTTGAAGCACATTTTAATTATTAAAATACATGTGCTATCTTAACACTAATTAATAATGTGTAAAATTGGATTTGTCCTGTGTCGCAGCTAGAGAAGCTGATAGGTAAGAACTACTTCCTCAATCTGTCTGCTAAGGAAGCGTATAAAGCATATGTCAGGGCGTACGATTCGCATCACCTCAAACAGATATTTGATGTGGAGACGCTGGATTTGGCAAAGGTTGCAGCTTCGTTTGGTTTCCAAGTTCCGCCAGCCGTCGATCTCCGTATCCTTTATATGCTATCAGAATGTGAGCAAAGAATGTTTCCAAGTTATCCTACTGTAATGAGGCAATTCAACTTTATTTTTCTGTGTGGTTTTATAATACATGGCACTGACTACATGACACAGCTTAGCAGTTGCTGAAAGATGGGTACAAGAACTCTGGAAAAGAAAAGAATTACATATTGAAGAGCTTCATTGAATGTGCCCTCACCTACAGTCCAGAGACCAGGAGAAAATCCCTGCTAGGAATTTGTTATATGCGCATGATTTTGCGGTGACTTGACGCCCCATCCTAAAAGCATTCGTTCCACAAGCACTGAACAAACAACAGACAACAGGCTTTCATGTGTTCTAATGGGTATAGCTTTAAGATTACCTTGTCCCGCTCAGTAGACACGCGGTCTGAGACATCATGCTTTGGACCGGTGATATGGAATGTGCGCTGGTTCGAGTCTCGGGGAAAGAAATTTCTCATGAGATTTTCGACCAGTGTATGGGACTGGTGCCAACCCAGCATTGTGAGGAAATTGGGGAGCTACAATGGGTAGCGTAATCCGGTCATGAAAACTAGCAATGGCTGGGGGTTCGTCGTGCTGACCACACATCACCCTATATCTGATTGGATGATCGTTCATCTCTGCTTAGGCATGTGAATGTGAGGCCAGCAGTCAAGCTAGTCGCCTTTGGTTCTCAGAGGGCTGTTACGCCACAGATTATTATTAAGATTACTTCACAGTGGCACCAATAACAGCCCTCTAGTCTACCTGGTAGTAAACATTCCCCCCTGCACCGCGCCAGAACCGACTTTCCCCCCCGCAGGAATTTTCTCGTGGCTGGTGGACAGTAGATAATATTACTGTGTTCTTATGTTCATATTTGACATTAAATGCGTGTTTAAAGCCCAAGGGTGACATTTGCATTGTGTTAAGGAGTAAATTGTATTTTTCAAGTTTTGGAACAGAAAGAAATTAAAAATTTTCCATTACTTTTGGTAAACTCTAATCAGCTGATCTAGATCTGACATTAAAAGTCATCAGGTGAGTTGGATTCCCTCATTAGGTAGTAAAAGTGGTGTGAACAATGTTGCTGAGTCTACAGCTGCATTTGGTTATTCCTTTTGTATTTTCTGCTACCGAAATATCAAATCAGTGAGGTGCATCTGCTTTAATGCAGAAAATTTGGAAAATAGGTGCACACAGTATGTGGATAAGTACGGTACAGTGTCTATCTGTTGTCCTTTTCTCTTTTACTTTTATTTATTTGTTATTTTGTGGGGATGGTTGAGCAAATACGTTCTTGGAGTTTCCTTAACATTGAATTAGAGGTGCATAGCAGTAAGGGTTCTCGTCCCCGCAAGAGGAAAGGTGGCGGGGGCTATGGTTACTTTAATACACTCAACAGCAATAAGAAGGTGCACAAGAATAAAGTGTATCGCCAACCAAACAAGAAGGCGAGCGACACGCGGCAGTTCTCCCGATGACAATGTCGTATTTGTTACTGTTATTAATGGAACTCTTCAGTTGTTTTCTCTGTCTGTCAACATGTGTTCTTGAGCCTGTAACATTTCTGACATTTTACTTCTGCATAAAGAACCTGGATTTGAACTTTGTCGTTTTCTGTTCCCACAATTGTGCTTATCTTTAAGCAATAAGCCTTTTATCCTCCACCTTCTGTTTCATATTATTACGAGAAGATGCTACACAATTTTTTTTTTCTAAAATAGCTGGGCGTGTATGCTTTTACCAATTTTATTTTGTTTGGAACAATTAAGTGTCCTTGAAAATAAAATAGAATAATGCTTTGAAGTAAAGTAATAGCCCTTATTGGTTGAGAAGATTTAGAATGTGGTGAAGAAGATCTTGGGAAAAGTTCATTTATTTAGTGGTGTTGCTGAGAATGTAAATTTTCTGCCAAGAAACATGTTGTGTTCTATCAAATTCTTTTTTATATACAATTTTATTCTGATTTCAGTTTTGTCTTTTCTTCTAATGACATCAGTCCAGGGGTCATGCATGCCAGCTCCTCCGTTGTTACCAGTGACCTCCACAAATAGTATTCTTATTTATTTTATCATAATTTAATGCAAGCTTATGTTGAATTATATTGAAGTTATTTTTAGGCACCATGAGCCCTGATTGATGAACCTTTGCTGTACGAAGCTTGGGAAGGTCAATCAAACAATAGTCTTATGGAAACACTCTTAAACACTTCCAGAAGAAAAAATTAGAAGAGTCTATATTTTTAAATACAGTGGAAAATAAGTTGAGGTCATTAATCTTTTACACTTGAAAGAAGAAAGAGATTTCTGTCTTCTGGGTTGTTGCGCCGTGTAGTATTCATCGCCCTGATGACGGAGGCAGTTTGACCTCTGAAACATTGGTAAACATCTACCCAGAAGACAGAAATCTTCATACTCACCGCTGTGAAAACCTCAAATCCTACACATAAGAGAGAGTTTATAATAAAATATATTTCTGGAGTGTTACATATTGCTGCACGAATGAAGAAATGAACATTAAAATCAAAATAGCTTAAATTTGCCTTATTGATGTGACACTTCAGTCTGCATTTGCTTCACAAAAGAACTGAAATTTGGTCCCAATTTTGAAACGTGAATTCACATCATATCATGTAAGTGCACATCAGTGAACTTTATTTTGTTTTCTTTCATATATGAAAAAGCCTGTTTACATGTTTATGTGCTACCAAATATATTTGACAAATCTTATGCTAACTTAGAACTGAGATCACCAAGATACTGGTTAAGCATAAAAGGTAATTGACCTTCTTGGTTGAAAGTATCTAAAGAATGGAATCATACTGCATTTCAATCAATTCAACCACAATTTCTCTGGAGCATCACTGACTTCAATGGAGAATGGTTTTTTAAAGATACATATATTTGTAGCATGGCTGCAAAAGTCATTTTATTGAATCGCATTTTAAAAATCGCAGCAAAGGAATAAATAATTTCTACAGTACATATGTTCAGTTTATGTTCTGCTTGAATGTAATTCTTAACATATATGCAACTGAGATGCCAAAACAGAGAATTAATTCCAGTGGTCTAGTACATTTCGTTTAGGGTCTTTGGACTGATATGCATGAAATATTTGTACTTTTTAAAAGCAAATCTGATATGGCCAAGGAACCTTCTTTCTTTATGTGATAACAAAAAACTGAGACTGGTTAAACTATATGAGATTTGAAGTTTTGTGGCTTTGAAGACTCGATATTGGTCTCATGAGTAATTATACGATGTGGACTTGCTGGTACCTACTAGCATATCAGAGGACATACTGCCTTCTTTTTCAAGCATTAAAATGGAGACAGTATGTTTCTTGACCAGTTAAATAGATTTGCATACACTTTTATTCTGACAATGAAGTTAGTTCCTCTGCAATACCAGAGTTTCAAATTTGCACCATTCATTTCTGTTCAGTCTGGATGGGGAGATAGATTGCATATTGGTTGAATAATAGTTACTTTTTACTGACTGAACACTGCCTCCATCACCCTTAAACAACAAGATAAGTAATCAACGATTATGTCATCCTGAAACAATACCGTATAGTGTAGACCAGGCGTGTTCGTGCGTAGTGTGTATTTCATTTTAAGAAATGTGACCAGCCAGAATGTCTAGATTTTTATAGATCAATCTTCTGGTCGAGTAATATTTCGTGGCTCTTGGTCAAATAACTGTTGTGCATTTGAGTAAGAGTATTGCGAAATGTATTTCATCGTTCTGCTATGCTACAGCCTACATAATTACTCGAATTCTGACAATTTCACTCAGTTCTAGATCAAGGTTGGGAGCAATTATTTCGTCAGTGTTTTGATACGTTTATTAGTACAGTATACTTCATTTAAACTTATAAAATCAGCGTTAACATTTAAAAAAATATGTCAGTATTGGGAACAGCCTGCGAGGTTTTAGTTTCCTTGCACGGTAATTTTCCTGCTGTAAGTGGGTCGTAAGTTGTGTCAACCGCCGGGCATTGGGTCACGGTCAATGTGTTCGAGACGGCCGCCATGTGTGCACCGTGGCACTTCGTCGTGCTGCTGTTGCTGAGCGGCGCCAGCGCGTGGCCTGTCATCAGGCCGTGGTCGAATGGTTATTTCGGCTATGATGGTACATTGCTACGCAATAATGATACCAATCGTACCAGCAGAGGTAAAGTTTAATTCATTGTTAACTTCTTGGAGACGCTTTTTAATTCCTTGTCTATGGTTACTTGCAGAATGCAGTGATATTGTTTACTGTACGGTGATTTCCTAGAGTATATTCAACGAATGGGCGTTTTTTGTACAGGCCGAATGCCTATCATTACGTACCTGCTACAGACAATTTCGAAACGGTTTTGAAATATAACTGTTTCGGGACAAGAATAAGTGAGACCACTCTGAAGTGAATGGAAGACTGCATATAGGAAACGTTTATTATTATATCGAAAAACTATAATTTCGTGAGATTTGAGGTTCGCACGCCGTGCACACTCATAGATACCAACATTTCGGAGAAACATACTGGCTCCATCTTCATGGCTGAAGATGTTTTTCCGAAACGTTGGGTATATACTCATGAGTGCACACATCATCAAGATTCAGAAGAATAACAGTTGTTATAATTTCGTGTACTTGTCAAAACAAAGAAGATATCCCATTTAAAACAATTTTTCCAGTAGTTTTATGTGATTCTAAACAGAGTGTCTCTCTGTCTTTATTTTTAGGGAAGCGCATAAATTGCAATTGGGAAGGCAATTATTTGGACCCAAGAGATTGAACATGTAACCTGAATGGAAAACAAGAACTATAGGGTTTTGATGAGAGAATCTGTTAGACAGCTATTTATTTAAACAGTGATGATAATATTACAAGAAGTTCTAGGAAGAGCTTACAACATAAGCTTCTCACTGTGATCATACTGCTCCAATGGACATTATGTTGCAGTGCTCAACTTCTTCCCCATCCCCGTCAGTGTGGAGTGTCCCTCGGATGATGGCCGCAGAACTGGTAAGTGTGCTTCAACATTACACCTTAGACTGAAAGTATAAAGTAAACATGGCAGCGACTGTACGCGCCAGTTATTGTCTATATTTTCTCAAAAAGTTGCATACAGATTCATATAACTAACATTGATTAATCTATCAAACAATGTATTTTCTTGGTTGTACAACTCATGTACATGCACTGATGAGTCAGTTATTCATGTTACACAGTGATTAATACCTCTAGGATCTGAGGTTCTCGTGGTGGTGAGTACAAAGATGGCTTTCCTTTGTGTTGTAGTGCTGTGTAGTCTGGTAGAAGTACATTAATGTTTCAGAGGTTCTTGCTGCCTCATTGTCAGGGCCGTGATTAAGGACCTCTGAAATGTTTGTAAACTTCTACCAGATTACATGGTCCTACAACCCAGAAGATAACCATCTTTTGATTAATATCTCTTTGTTGTAGGGGTGTGTCTGAACGTGTATGAGTGCCGGATGCAGGGTGGCCGGGCAAATGGACCGTGTGCCCTGGGTTTTGGAGTTTGCTGTGTCTGTGAGTACAACTTCCTGGTGTTGGATATTTAGTTGGAGAGGTCAGCTCACCTCCCATAATCACAGTTTATTTCCCTAAAGTAATGAAGTAAGCATACAATCTTCACATTTATGAGGTACAGTATTGTACTATTTTTTTTCTTACGTTCTGCCATAAGTAAAGAGTAACTTACGGGCCTGCCCATGTCTGTCATGGCTTTTATCACATTGTTACAGCACTTATCTTGGAATTGTATCAGTGACCTTGAATACCATTGTTGCACTTACTATTCTCTTTGTTGCTCTGCTGACATTATGACCCGTGATGTGGTGTGGTGTAAAGAAAGTCTTTGGAATTTTAGTGTACTCCAAGGAGGACATCCTTCCAATATTGTCTGCATATAGGAACTCTCACAGATTAAGAAAACCCCTTCCATTACCATGAACTTTCAATTATTGATGCTTCTGACATTCCTGTAATTGAATTTGTAGTTATTTTACTGATCTGTTTCCGTACAGAATGTCATATGCCAGCTGTCATGGCTTCTTAGTGTCACTGTCAGGGGAGAAATTAAATGATTTTCGTGCAATCACCACGTTATTTTAGATTTAACATAAATGTTGCTTCGACATATTTGTATATTTTTCAAAAAAACCACCATACTGAATGCCATCGTGTTTTATTAAATGTTACTCTAGTCTTGGAAGTTTACTCGGCTTCTTTATTGTTTCTACAAATGTCAGGTTTATCTTGATGCAAAATAAATATCTTTTCGTATTTTAAGCTAGGCTGCCTGCATTCATAGATTGGAAGCAGGTATGTAGGACCACCATTTAACTTATTCTTACAGTCACAGCAACTTGTGGTGCTGACATTGTCAACAACATGACCTACTTTGTCAGCCCAGCCTTTCCTGCCCTGTCACGTGATGCAGCTGTCTGCAATGTTCAAATTCAGAAGGTGGCTCCCAGCGTCAGCCAGCTGCGACTTGACTTTGTGCACTTCAATCTGGTGCGTAGCCTAATGTCAGGATAGAGAAGAACAGCCCAAGGGTCGCTCGTACCAACGCGTTACCTTTGCACTTGTGTTACAGGGGCAGCCGAATAGACGGACAGGTGTGTGTGAATCGGATGTGTTTGTTATGAGTGGTGGAGTGACCCAGAACCTGAAACTTTGTGGGCAGAACAGTGGCCAGCATGGTGCGTAGATTGAATCGTTATTGTATTATCTACCGTCGTGTGTCACAAAGGTGGTATTACAGGAACCTTTGTGGTTTGAGTTTGGATACATGGTGCTATTTGCGATTGCCTGTTTGATCACTTGGATAGAATTTCATTAGATTTGTATGTTTGATGCTTATCAAACTCAAATATGGTTCACACTAAACTACCGGTTTGCATGATATAATGTCCAGGGAAAAGATTTCATTGTATATTGTCATTTTGTGGTGAAATTTTCTGTTGGAAATTCTTAAACCAAAAAGATATTGCTGAACCATATTGAACTATTTAAACTGCCATCTAACAAACTACATGGAGCAGAGTCCTTCTTGAAACGTTAATAGTCACGGAAATAGTTCAATATTATGCTTCTTATGGAACTCAGATGTAAATTACCGTATTATCAGGATCTGCTCCTCGTCGCTCACCTAAGCCAAATCATTTATTAGACTACCAGAAAACTCAGAATTAGAGTTCAAAAGAATGCTAGTCTAGAAATGTATCAGTTGTACTTGAAGACCAAAATTAATTTTAGTCATAATTTGTTTAGACTTGTTCTTAGAGACGTGTATAAAATCATGAACTTGAGTAAAGTAATTCAAAATAGGACCTGGTCTAGATAGTGATGGACGTTCTTGATCAGCTGAGTAACTCCCGTGATGCTGTTATTACAATCTGTTGCAGTGTATTATGATGTGGAGAATGTGAAAGACCCAATCAATATCGTTATCAACCTGACCCACAACAACTTGTTCCGTATGTGGGAGATCAAGGTGAGCCTGCTAACCAATCTGCTCGTAGTTTCTACCATTTCTTATAACCAACCTCTGTATCTTGGCATATTAAAATAATTTTGTAAGCATGAGAGAATAAATTCTTCAGGTGAATTAAGAAAAATTAGAAGAATTGAGAATAAGAATTCTCTTTACTGTACCATTTTCACACTCTGAACTCTAGCCATTTATTCACAAGTGCAATACTTATCCTTGTTGATATCAGATCCTTTGTCAATGGAAATATTTCAAAAACTGTTGTTTTTAAAAAATCGCATTCTCTTTCACTACCTGTTCAATCTGAACATTGTCAGTACTGATTTTGGGTCTTCTCTCATAACTTACAGTATCTAAAAAAATTTGCTACAGAAGCTAATTAAGTAACGTACCAGTAAAGTTTTATTGCATGGTTTCATAACTTATATCATTGAAATAGTAACCACGCATGTATTTGAATATTTAGCACTAAGTATAAGATAGAGGACTATATTGTCTCTTACATATGTATGTTCCATCACAGTTTCAAGATAGGGTAGAACCTCTTGGTATTAAATCAGGTGGGACAACTTCAGTCATCCCAGGCTCTCAGACTGCTGCTAGGTCTATTTTGCACCCCTGATCTTGTTAGGTCCATTCAAACTACACAGACTGCAGTGCTGAAGTCAGAACCAACCTAATTAAGGCCCTCCTAATATATTTAGGCTCTCGCCACGAACAACTGGAGGCCTCTAATCTATGCCTAGCGAACACTGGCATGAGGATTCTCCCTCCTATACGCATTTCTTATACTTGACACTTTCTGAGAGGCCCACGATATGTAGGTGCCACCTCAGTGGACAGAGACCAGTTAACAACCTGTTACCATCCTGAAGCTGGTCACTCTTCTCTGCAGAGATCTTGCTTTGTATTCAGGTAGTCCAGAGTTCAAATCTTAGCCCAGACATCAACTATCCTGACTGAGGTTTTATGTTGGTGTTCTCAGTTTATTCACACAAATGCCAGGATGGTACCTCAAATTAGGTTATGACTGCTTTCTTCCACTTCCTTTCCAAATAATTTTACACTGTTTATTATAATATGTACTATGGATATCACTATTAATAAATAAACACATATCACTGTCAGAAAAGCAAATTTTGTTCAAGAAACATGTACCAATGTTGGTTCATACACTGTCTCTGTATGAATTTTCTTGCAACCGAAGTTCCTTTAGCATGTCTTATTTTGAATCACATGGAGACATTCATCATAATGTGATGACAATACTGATGCAATTTTCAGATAATGATTTCAAACATTGTCATCAGGCATGACAGAGATGTTGGAATGCATGTATACAACCAAAATATGACCACAGTCACTAAATTTTGGTGATAGTGTATTTGTCTAGTTATTTATTATGAAAATTTTGTATCATGTATATTTTGTTTATTTTGTACAAAAAGATGTCAATGTTGGAGTAATTGGTTTATTTAATTTGTTAACAATTAAGTAGCATCCCTTCCCCAAAAAATATTTTGTATGTTCATTTTGAATCATGTTAAAGAATTCTCTTTGTATAGTATAATGGGTTATTCTGTTGTGATATTCATTCCGACTGTGTAAGACTTAATGAAATAGATCAGTTTATTTCCTAGACTGCATGTTCTGTCCTTCATATGTTTCAGATCATACAAATTGAGTTCACTGAACGTGCTCCTGCTGGCTGTAGGCAGTACCACCAGGGTAGCAGTGGTATGGATGTTTGAACTACAGAAATTATAAAAGAATTTAAACTGCTGAAATACATTTTCATGCAAGTTGCTCTCAGAGATCAAGATGTTAGGTTGTGTGAGAGATCATGTACTAAGTTGTAACAGGCTATTGAGCCATTAAGAGAGGAGAACTGAGTATTGAAGGTTATATGTACTATCATCTGCTGAATCTGAGTGTTCCATTTACCTTAAAATTATGTAAACTTACAAATTTGTGAATGCTCATGGAATTTTCTCAAATTAAGGTCTTCATTCATGTGTGTGTTTGACAGCTTTCAGTCTCATTCCAAGTGATACATGAACTGTATTGAAAGAACTAAAATGCTGCAGTACAAAGATAAATAAATTATATTTATTTTGATTTTCTGTGATGATCACGTGATCTGTTCTTATTACAATGAACTGCACAACTTGTGTACTTTGTTTTCTGCAAGTTAGGTGAGTAGGACGTTTCATGTTGCAGGAATCATCCAGACAATGAACTTTGCAGATAATGGCCGTCACCTGGCAGACCAAGACTACAACATCTGTATGCGGCAGGAAGAAGGTGAAATGTGTTGTATATAAATGAATGTGTATACATAATTTTTGTAACAGATTCAGTCCTTTATTTACAGATCTTCCATAGTGGTTTTTGGAGGCTCTTATAGATAGTTGTAGATGGTATCTGACGTCCTCAATAAAGAAAGTTTCCCTGACAAGGATATATACCTTGACAGGCAGAGCACCTTCTTCGAAAACATAGCTTTCAGTAGTTTGCATGTGCTTTTCTGTTAGGTGGTGACATATCATGTCCAGTCCATGTATCACCAGTGCAATTTTTCATCTGAACAATTTCGTTGCTGTTTCTAGTAAGATGTGAGAAGGTCTTTTGAGGTTGTTTGTGGCCACTATTGCGAGTGATGCCTTTTGTTTCACATGGTATGTGTGCGCAATGCTGCTTCGTTTCACTGTAGCCCCAGATATCTGAAGGAGTTTAAATTTTTTCTCCTTTTCAAGATACCACAGTCATAGTTTTTTCTTTGTTGATGTGTGGAACTTGTTTGCTTGTGACCATTGTGTCAGGCCATCGAGTGTACTATGTCTCTCTTGGCACTGGCTTAATATAATTGCTTTATCATTGTTTGTGTAGGCATCTCTGTTTCCCATGTGTACTGCACTGACTATGAGCCGGGATAGCTCAGTCAGTATAGTGACTAGCTACGGGCTGGGCGACCGGGGTTCGATCCCCGGCGGGGGCAGAGGATTTTTCCTCTAGCCTCTGCGCCCAGACCGGCTCTGGGGCCCACCCAGCCTCCTCTACAATGGGTACCGAGTACTTTCCCGGGGGTAAAGCCGGCCGGGGCGTGATGCTGACCACTCACCCCCATCTAGTGCCGAGGTCAAGAAAGAGAGGAGCTATACCTCCGCTCCCCCCAAGCGCCTACATGGCGCATAGCGGGACAAACTTTACTTTACTTTTACTGCACTGACTACATCAGTTGTGAGGTTGAGTAGCAATGGACTCAGTGGGTCTGCCATTTGTTTGCAGGTTAAAAAGACAATCTGTACTTGACCAGAATTGAATTCTATGACCCTGTATGTTACCAGAGAGCTGAATTGCATCTTGTTATTTAACCATATTAATCACTCTGGTATTTGTATGTACCCACAGTTTATAATTCTGCATTTTGCCAACTTATTGTATTTAGGTGGTTTTGTATGATTTGAGTAAACAGCAATTAGTTCCTTAAGTAACACTAACCAGCTGATGTTTATTATGAGATGTGTTGGTTTCTTTCCAGTAGGAACTGAATCTTTAAATGTCTTTTTCATGACCTTTGGCTTCAGAAGGTTAATTATTACACGTGAATTTCAATAGTTATGAATGGAAGAAACAAGAAATACGTACAGACTTTTGCTGGGAAAGTAGTGATTACTTTGAAGACTAAGATGAAGATGGGAGAGTAGTATTAATGTGACGCAAAAAGGAAATATATCAGATGATCTGGGATGGATATAGCGGCAGGCTTTCCTTTAGCAGTGCTGATATTTTGTGTATTAACTCTATAGGTTTTATTTGTCTATTAGTAATGATGTACTGGAAACAGTATACATTCTGGTGCTTCAGTTAAAATATTGAGGATGAAGTAACAGTCTGATTTTGTTTCAGGAATGTGCTCAATAGCGTATGAACCATGTGATGAGAACTCCTTCAAGATTGGACCCCCTGTTCTGTCAGGTGAGAATAGTCAGCAGGTTGCATTCCCCAAGTTAATCAGTTGCTTTTACTGCCATTAGGTAACTGAATTTAACTGAATGATTTTCCCACACAGACCCTGGCTCAGGAGATGGCGGCATCGGAGACAGTCGAGACTGTGATGACAAGATTGTGATGCCATGTGACTCGGAGGAATTCTTAATGGTGAGCTTGCTGTTAGATTCAGTTGTTTATAATTCTTGAAGTAAACAAGAAATGTTTTGAGTATTTACTTCTGTGCTTTTAGAAGTCTGCAGGAAATGACTGTGTATGTTGCACTATCATTGGTTAATTAAGTGAAGGAAATAAACTGAGTTAAATATAGTAATTTAACATGAACATATCATCAGTGACACTACAACATTGTACCTCTAATTCTGCTATACTTAGGTGATGCAACCTGAACTTCCATGGCTAATACTCGCGACACTATGTCTTGACACACTCACATTTAGGTTGGACAAAATTATTTTAACTTCAGAGAGAATATTTGGAGCAATTTGGTCATGTTGTAGCACTAGATTGGTATTTAGGAGGCACCAAAATTCAAATTTTGGCCAGATTACGATCTGTTCTTAGGTTTTCTGCAGTTATATCAGATTTCTCCAGTCTTTGCAGTGAAATAGGCAATGACTGTCTCTTTCCAAAGCCTTGCCTGGTCACTGTTTTTCATCTTCTACCCATCTTATTCAACACCATATACAGTGAAACCTCTATCCATCGTTCCCGGAACTATCGTTTTCCCGGATGCATCGTCCGTTTTGTTCGGTCCCGGATACATCCCATATAAAATAATGTTACATTTTCCCGCTTCTATCGTTCCTCGAACTATCGTTTTATCGCATCGATCGTTCAAAAATCTTAGTCCCGGCCCACAATTTTCCCGAAGACGACGAATGCGAGCCCGAAGCTTTGCCGAGTTTTGCCGAAGCACACGCTGCATTGGCGAAAGTGAAGTCGTTCTTTTATGCGCTTAATATTAGTGAACGTGACGAAGAAAACATTTTGAACGTGGAAAGTGCTCTGTTTGGTCTAAAACGTAAAGTTTCGACAAACCAGTTGTCCATTAAAGACTTTTTTGGTAAAAAGAAGTAACTTTGAAAGAGAAACATTGTTTTTTTTAAAATTTTTAATGCTTTCCCGCATCTATCGTTTTCCCGCATCTATCGTTTTTATTTCCCACCCCCGCCGAAAACGATGCATCGAGGTTTCACTGTAATTCCAATAACTGAAACATTGTTATAAAATAACCTGAGAATCAGTCATATGTTATGTTCCCAGCCTGAATCCAGTGGACCTGGGGTCTGTGACCTGCTGCACTGTGGCAGCTCATTCTGCAACCAGGGGGAGAAGCCCTGTCGCATAGAGAGTGAGTAAAAATCCCTGTGATCCGCCTGCTGTACAGGTAGCCTAACATGACACTTATTGGATCGTGTTCTTACAGGTAGTTCCACTCCTTTCAACATCCGGGTGCAGTTTGGTCCAGGCATCAGAGAGGAGTCTCCAGAAGATAATATTGGCATGTGTCTGCATTATGAACAACTGCCATGTTATGTGTGATGACAATTCGTATCATGTGCCTGTTATATATTCAAACTGCTGAAGGAGTAATTTATTTTTAATACTAAATGTTTTACGTGTCATTTGGTAGAATGTGAGTGAGTCAGTCATATGTGGGTTTCACCATGTCCTCAATGAAAATTAGTATGAAACAGGATATTCTACAAGACAAGACAGGAACGCATCCCGGGCCTAAATCAAGGGCTACCTGTAATTGATCTTACAAATACTGTGGTGGACTGGATTCATTTAACTCGGGATAGGGAATGGTGGCAGGCTTTTGCGAACACAGTAATGGACATTCAGTTCTATTAAAGTCACAGAATTCCTTGTCAAAGTGAGTTTCAGCTTTTCAAGGAGTCTTCCATAGAGTTAGTATTTTTAAATATTACATTTATATAAAGATCTATCTCTGTTATTACTACATTTATCAATGGTTTGAAATGGTTCAAACCAGTTACCAAATGTTTTACAGCTCATAAGGCATTGAACTGGAACAGAACCAGGAAATGAGATTACTGTACAGTGTGAACCTAAACGTAACCTTATTTCAAACAGTTTGAAGCCCTGCTGGTAACAGTCTTCATATAGGTTGTGGATGAGGATACATAGCTGGATGTTTCTCAAGAATTGTAAACCTGAATTTATTCAACCATCTTCTTTACAGAATGAGTGGTTCATTTACATTGCTGCTGCCGAACGTGTAGAGGATTGTGATGGGTACATTTTATTAGGCTACGTTCAATCATGCAGTTTCATAAGGTGAACCCATTTCTTTCTGATACTCTGGTATGAGGTTGTTGGTTCTAATGATCTTGCTCTGAACATTACTACATTTTAGGTTCATTAAACCACTTTTGTAGTGGTTGAGTTTGGCGTGTGTTTGTGAAATGCAGTAGTTCTACCCTGTACTTGTTTTATTGTGGCAGCCCCACATGTGAAATACTGGTTACAGTAGTGTTCATATTTTGTTTAGAAACTACATTAAGCAATTTTACTTGCTACCAACCAGCAAATTCACTCACAGGAAGTAAATGTGCATGTAATTAGTTGGGCAAGTAAAATCAACTATTTGCCTCACCTATTCACTAGCTAGTGAGGTTAAATTTGTTCAGCTGTTATCACTGCATAAAATATTCTTAGAGGTAGTAAATTTGCTTGAGACTAAAACAGTGGTATTTAAAAATGAAAGTTAATTATGAAATAAAACATTTGGTAGTCACTTTGAAAAGTTAAGGGAACTGAGTGAAAGAGAAAACGCAGGCTGCACAATGACGAAATGCAGTATTTATAGTACTAATATGTACTTTCTGAGACAGCCTGAAATTATTGTTCAGCAGCCACATTATATGGTAGTAATTCCCCTATTGCTCCCCAAAAGATGGCAGTATATTATTCGTGACGTCATGCGCCGTTTACGTTGCCAACATAGCACTGAGCTACTGATCCCTAAGTTGGTAGTGTGTGCATATTACTGACATCTTTTAGTAGCATTGCGAGTATTAATTTTTTGCTTCCGTGTTTTGTGCGTTTCGGTTTTCGTAGAGGTATCTGTGTGAAAATAGTAAAATATTAAGATCGGTCGCGACGCATATAGAATTGTGAACTGTGTTGAGTAACTGCATTGAAATTAATATTATTATATGCTGGAATCAGTGGTGGTGATGGATCCAACTCTCAAACGCAAAAGTTTCGTGAGGTGAACTTTATTTTGAGTTTGTTCGTGTCAAACAAATTATATACATTTACGGAATCCTTGATCTGTGTGATTAAGAAACGCCGAATTCAATAGCTGCAATGGGTAAGCATTGCCATTTACTTTAATTTCATATTGTAATTCAACTACTCTTCAGCGTATAGGTAATAACCATTTTGTATTCGCATTTCTGCAATGAGTTTAAACTTCGCGATATGGAGCAGGTGTTTTCAAAACTTGTGCAAAGGACATGACAGACGGACTTCATACGCTACTTTGAGATTTTATTAAATCTGCAGCATATTTTAGGTGATTTCTGCACTAGCAATAAATATCATTGAAACTCGCACATAGCGTACGTACTATACGTTCGGAAGAGTCGTGTGCGATATGCCCCTTCCCACTTTCGACGCCATATGACCAGTTTTAACTCGCATTGCGTTAGCTGCACATTCCCTTCTTGGTCTTCATGTATGCCTCATAAGCTGTGGACGTACCAGTCTGGTTCTTGTTGTGCAATGCTCATATCTCAGCTTGATATGTGATGTAATAGGTTTTCTCTGTTGAAGGATTTACAGCTGTTAGATTGTAATTTTCCAGGTTGCTGCATTGTATACCAGGATTTCAGAGGAACATGCTGCCCTTCTCTTCAGAGTTATCCACTAATGTCACTTGTTCATGACATATGTATGGGTCCATAAGGTGTTCTTTGCTCATGTAAAAAGCATGAAGAATATCCAAAAGATTAAAAGACACAAAACCATAAAACTATAGTTTTACCAGTTCTTTTATATAGGTGGGAAATGTGGTCTCTGTTGTTGAGGAAAGAACACAGATTGAGGGTGTCTGAGGAAAGGGCCTTACGCAACTAAAGTAATTGGCATGTATGCCCATGCTCCAGTTGGTTACTGGTAATATGACATAAATATTTTGCTGAAGTGTAAGGTTTTCAACTGAACAAGTGGCTGGTGGAAAAATATTAATTTTCTTAACAATTCCCAACATGAGGCTCTTCCTTTTAGTGCCTGCCATTATTCTAGTGATTTTCTTTTGGATGTAAAATACTTCTTTGCTGTCTGTTGAGTTTCCCCAGAAAATAATTCTGTATGACATAATTGAATGGAAGCAAGCAAAGTAGACTATTTTTAAAGTTTCTGCTCTCATGATGGATGTGACATTCCTAATAGCAAAGCATTCTGAGCTTAGCTTTGTGATAATATATTGAATTTGGTTTCAAATTTAAATTATTGTCAGTTTGTAGGCCAAGATATTGAGTTGTTTCAACTTCTTCAGTTGTTTTGCCCTCATACCCTATATACCTAGATTAACACCATTTTTGTTGGCAGTAAAAAATTCATGAAATTTGTTTTGCGAAAATCTAATGTGTGTTTCTTGGCTTTAATCCATTTGTTCAAAATAGCAAAAACATCATTCATGCAAATTTGGAAACAGTGAATTTCTAGATGTAAAAAATAATAGGTACAATCCACAAAAAGTATGGGTTTAGATTGAGAGTTAGTTGTTGTCATTAAATCATTGACAAATCATTGTGAGGAAAATCAGAGAACCAAGTATTGGACCCTGAGGAACTAAATGTTTTATAATGCCCCAATTTGAATAGGTGCTATTATTTGAGTCTAGCAATTTTATTTCTACTTTTTACCTTCTGTCTTGAAGGTATGATTTAAACCACTGACTGGCTATATTTTGAATTCCATAAAAATGTAGTTTTGACTGTAATATTTATGACTTGCACAGTACAATACTTTAAAAAGATTACATGATATTTCACTAACTTGCAATTTGTTATTAATAGCACTTAAGATTTCATATGTAAAATTAAAAAGGGCTTTATCTGTTGAGAGACTTTTCCAAAATCCAAATTGTTCACTTGCAAGGACATCGAGTTTAAAAAGTCACTTACTCTTTTATACATAACTTAGAGAAAGCTGTTAGTAATGAAATTTGTCTGTAGTTAGATATGCACAGTTTTTAAATTTTTTATAGAGGTTTAACTTGTTTTTTTAAGTAAGGAAATAGTATGGGAAGGTGTTAGTTTGCACCATCTCAGTCAATCAATATTATTTTTTATGTGCATGAAACATTTAAGGAATGCACTTCTCTGCTGGCACATGTACCTTATCAGATAACATTTATCAAGTGTAAACAAAACAAATATCAAGTGTCATATTGATAATTTGCTATGTAGTTGTAGGAAGGAAAACATAGCTATCAGTAAGCGGTAGTCAGTTTACACAGTAACATGAAAGGCTGATGTTGGGAATTTTCTTTCCCTGAGCTTGGCACTCCTGCTGGAAGGTGTTGAAAGTCAAGATGGAAAAGAGTTGTTAGATGTGTGTGCATGTACAGGTACACATGCTTGTGTGTGTGTGTGTGTGTAGATTGGAGTCAGTTGTGTGAATTTTTAAAAGGGAAAATGTGTCACACTCTACCATTATGGATGTCCTGTTGAAACTTTATCACAGGATATGAGGGTTCAGTAAGCAGCTGCCATCTCATATTTCTTATCTCTTGAACAGTTTGTGCTAGGAATGAATGTTTTGAGATAAAGGAATGTTTTCTTTGGGAGTATGTTGCAGACAAAATATAATGTTTTGTGCCAGATCTATTCTATATGCTAATGTTTCAGAAGCCTACAATTTTTCATGTCAATAGTGAGTTCATAATACTTCAAATTATTGGTATTTTAGGTTGTGACTGCATGTTGTCTTGTAGCTCATTACCAGTGTTTTAGAAGAGCATACTGCATTGATTTACATATGGAACTCACTTCTACCCTGAAGATGGAGGTAGCATGTTTATCCAAAACATTAATGTTCACTAACAGGACTACACAGTGTCAGAACCCAGAAGACCAAAATCAAAAATTTTTCATCCGTGTGAACCACAAATCTAGTTTCATGTTCTTCTGAATTGTAATGCTGTGTGCTGTTAGTTAGTAGTATTTTAGACACACATATTGAACATATCTTCAGCCATGGAAAGAGATAGTTTGTTCTCATGAATAATTGGTATATATCTACAATTCCTCACTATCACAACCCAGATCAGCATTGGCTTCTTCATGAATGTGTGAACTTTAGATCTCATATTCCCAAGACATGTTTGTAAGGTACAGAGAGAGTCCTCTTTGAGAAGCTGATAGTCACTGAGATGGTCAAGAAATTTTCAATTTTTTATGAAAATTGAAGGTTAATTACTGTGTTCATGAGATGGATATATAATAAATTATAAAATGATACTGTATTAATTCTGTAGCTACATGCATGCACCTTGTAACCCACACTGCATGGTTTGAGAGAAAATGATACAAACACATATATTACCTGAAAACATATTTATTGCAGAAACAGTATATATTTTGTAAAGTCAAATGAATCATTATACTTGTACAGATGTTTTATTAATATTTGGACCAAACTCTGTTAATCTTTTGTTAAAAAATAATGAAAATTTGTATGTAGCCCAGGTTGATTTTCTTTCCTTCTGTCCGTGCATAAACTTGTAACCCACACATTTGTATTGCCTACTCTATGGCGTGTAAGTGTGTGGGAGCACTGGCTTTTATATTGAACAAGAACTACTGGACACACAATTTTAATGAATTGTTGGAACCATTTTTTGATTGATTTTTGTGATCCTTGCATGTTTCTCTTTTTGATGTCTTTCCTTCACTAACTCAGTGACAGAACTGATGATGAAAAAGAGAACTGGAAAAGATGAGCTAAAGTATCGTAGTGTATGATTAAATTTGAGAAAAACAGGACATGGGAGAAGTTTGTGGTAGATTTATAAAATTAATATAAAGGAAACAAAGTTAATATATGTGTTAATGAGTAATAAGGTCAAATTGAAAACTGATTTAAGTAGTATACAAGATAAAAATTGAAAGTTGGCCTGGACAGAATATGTATATCTTGAGATGCATGGAAAAATTGAAGGATTTATTAAATTGCACATTTATGGTGAGGATAGGGTTTCAGGAAAAGTAATAAATCAGACAAGATAGTGGATAATATTGAGTATGTTAGATTTGGAAATAGTGATATTACAAATGAAAAGTGGGAACAATCAGGATGCAATGGCTGTATTGGGTCTTGAGGAAAAATTGGATAGATGTGCCTTAATGGTGTGTTGTTTAGACACAGAGAAACTTTACCAAATATAACATGAGTATGATATTTTAGCCATTGAGGAGATTGGCTCTTCATGTGGAATGCCAGTTTGATGTTGCTGAAGCAACATTGAGCGTGTGAAGATGAGATATGAATTCCTGCTTCCAGGAGGATGATGCTGGTGACAACCATGCTTGACAGAAAAGATGGCGGGCTGTGACTCGGGCTGCAGCAACATTTCCATCATGCAGTTGTTCCACGAGTTGAAGCAGAAGTTCCCTGCTGTCCCCGACAGAGTCGTCAGTGAGAGTATTAGACAGGTAGTGACCACCCACTACTAACACTGAGGATGCACTTTGTCTGAAATCCAGAGGATCCCTCTCTTGGTGAGGATGGGATTAGATGTTTTCAGAAATGCCGATGTTTGAGCTCCTCAGGTTTTTTGAAGTTCCTGAAAGAAAAATATACTTGAAACATTTGGTTGTGTGTTTATTACACCCTACAATGTATTTTTTTGGAATATCTGGTAACTATGTGGATGTCAGTAATTAGTATTTGACCTTTGACCTTATAGATGAGAAATGCTTTTATAGCATTTTCAGGATTTTCATAGGGTGAGAAACATTCCACAAGTTTTTATTTATCTCATCTACTGTGGGACTGTGAAATGATGTCTTCTGTGGCATGATATTTTTGTACCTTTTGAATTATCATAGAAAGGGAATATTAATAATCATAGTTTATCATATATGGATGTGGACTGTATTTACTTGGCTTTGGATAGGTACCAGTGGCTGCTTTTCTGAACACAGTAATTCACTTTTAAGTTTATAATATGTCAGCGTACTAGTTTCATGTTATTGCTTTGAATATATGCCTCAATTTATGGGATGATAAAAAATATAGCTTTTGTGAGGAACTTTTCTTAGTGCCCTAAGTAAGAGTATTTGTGATTTATTTAGGGTTTGTTTAAACCTTTGAATGTGAAGTTCATCTAAATAATATTTATAAATTCATTTCCTACCACAAATAAAAATGTTGTTTGGGGAAATAATCACTGTTTGTTCAGAGTCATATGAAACATGTAAATACAAGGAGATGGCTGTCTTCTGGGATGTTGCACTATGTAGTCTGGTATTCTCCCCCCCTCTCTCTCTCTCCCCCCCTCTCTCCCTCTCTCCCTCTGATCGAATGCAGGGAGATCCTGTTCATCTTTTGTCCTGACCATCCTTCCCCTTCCTGTGCTTTCTTATTCTGACACAGTAGTATTTCATAAGAGCTTGCAATACTTCAGGCTAAATGAAATAAAGAAAAGTATGTTTTATGTTGTAATTTAAAATATCAGAAGCCACACTTTTGTATGTGAATAGTCTCTAAAAATAGAAGGACTGTGACAATTACTTCAGATCAGACATGTCATGTTTCAGAATTCCATGAAAGGATTTTGAGTAAGGTCTCTGTAGAGATGACATTGTAATTACATAATTTTGGAACTGAGAATCCAGTAAGGCCCCCTTGGAGGCCCATTAAAAATGACAAGGTCAGCTGCAGAACTTTTTGAAAATTATTTATCTGTATTAATCATCAGAGGCAGACGTCAGTCTATATATTTGCCAAAAAAATTACATGTAGATTTGATGAATTTCCTAAGATTCCAAGTACTGGAATTTATTAAGAGGAAAGAAACACAAAATGTCTTCATAAGAGCTTTCTGTTCAGAAATTTGTTCCAGTGCTGGTTACCACGATGCCTGTGTGTATACACAA